GGAGAGATTTCTTTTGTGAAACTATCCGACATTCACTGCGCTGCCAAGAGCGAAATGCTCGCCTCGCAGCTAAAGGGATTTGAAAACAACAACAGTATCCGACATTCACGAAACACAAAGGCACACACACATACACACCCACACACAGATCTTCTAGTAATGTAACTTTACTGATACCTTCAAAGCAACATCATGGTTAAAATCATGTTATACAAACTGCTACATGACTACAAGTAACAAACATATAATATGGTCATGTCAATAATTCATCTCTAAGCAGTCAGAACACAATGTTTAATGTTCCTCTTGTACATCGTAAATTTATTGTATTCTAAAGTGCTCAGAGTCAGAGCCAGTGTACTTTAATCAGGGCTGAGCGCTACATAAATGTCGTTTATTATTTTATAATTTAGCCATTCGCTGAAAGTCACAATTGAGCAAGACATCCAAATACTCTTGCAGTGAACAGATAATATAACAATTCTCTGACCCAGCACAACCGGAGTGTAGCACAAACACACACACGTGGGGACACAGACAGCTCCAGACCTGATGGTGGTTTTAGTAAGAGTTTTACGGCACTTGCAACAACACAAATGGGTCATATAAGTGCTGAAGATTAGAGTAGGTGTTACAAGAGAGTAACAAACAGAAAAAACAAGAAGGGGAGATAAAGACAACAGGAAAGAAGGAGCAAACCACACCAGAGCACCCGCCAACCACACTCTCCAGACCCGAGCCTCAGTCAGTGACAGACAGACGGCCAACTTTTCATGAAGTTCAAGCCCTAAAGGACAACAGAACATAGGCAAGCTTTTCAAATATTCTACACCCAGAGAGCAAAATAAAAAAAAGTTTCCCTTCTTTTTCTCCCTTTGAAACTAAAAATGACGACAATTGTGTCCATGAGCTTCTCTCCACTACAACAAACAAACAAACAAACCCACCGATCAACCCTGTGCTCCCCTGTCGGAATCTGACAAAGCAAGACGACAGTTTGACCGCTCTGTACAACGATAATTTCCCACACAAGTACAAGGTCACAGCTGAGCGGTACTGGACAAGTACCAGTTTTAGTAAGAGTTTTACGGCACTCGCAACACAATATGGTTTATAAAAGTGCCGAAGAATAGAGGTGATACAAGAGAGTAACAAACACAAAAAAGAAGGAGGGGAGATAAGGACGAAAGATGTTTGATAGTGAAATGATAGGAAAGAAAAAGCAAACCACACCAGAGCACCCGCCAACCACCCATGGACAAGTAGGCCTACCAGTAACAAACACAGCGGACGAATGAAACGCTCGTTCTCAAAATGGAAGAAAAAGTTACACAAGAACGGGAAGCTTCCTTTTGAAATGTCAGAGTTTATATAGATCTATATCATCATACATGAAGTGCTGAGCAATGCCCATCGCAGTTGCTATCTGTGTGTGTGTGTGTAGGTGTGTGTGTGTGTGCGCGTGTGCATGTGTGTATGTGTAGGTGTGAGTGTGTGTGTGTGTGTGTGTGTGTAGGTGTGTGGGTGTGTGTGTGCGCGCGTGTGCATGTGTGTGTGTGTATAGGTATGTGTGTGTGTGCGTCCATGAGAGTGTGCATGCATGATTGCATGAGTGTGTGTGTGCGTGTAGTTGTGTGCGTGCGCGCATGTGTGAGTGTGCGAGTGTTTGAGGAGGGAGAAGAACAAATAGAGGTCACACTGTCAATACACAAGGAACTCACAGAAACATCAAGAAGATGCTAAGACACATTTTTGTCACGACGTGGAGGAATCAGGTGCTCGTCGATTGTTGGGCATATGGGGTTATTGGTATCATCTTAAAGCCTGTTCATTTGTCTTCCTTTTGATGAACAAAAGATCCATCTATGTTGAAAAGAAGTCGAAATATTTGCGATTGAAGGAGGTCAGGGTGGTCTGGTTTCAGAGGGAAAATTAGCCTGAAAATGGCTGCAAAAGCTTGGTAACTTCCTTAGGAAACCGAAAATTTCCAGTTTTTGTTCCTGTAATCAACGTTTTTCAGTAAAATCCACACAAAATTTTGTTTTTAATGGACATAAAAGGTGTTGAACAAAAAAATAAAAGTCGGAAAAAATTGCCCATCGGCCAAAAAAAAAAAAAAAAAAAAAGATTTCTTCGATTGTAATATTTTGATAAACACCTGACTTTACTACGATGCCTCACATTTTTGTCAACAGGATACGCTCCATGTCATGAGGAAAACCACCCACTTTGTCTTTTCTATCTGCAGTAAGCTTCTGATTCAGCACTACTGAAATTTTCAAAAGTTTGGAAAACTCGTGCATACTTTTGGCTGTCGTAATAAGACTCCAAACAGGACACCATACTATAAGATAAGTAAACACACCAACTGTTAGAAACAAGTCACTTGTTTTTGTTTTAGGAAAGATTTTACGGAAATCGTAGAGGTGTTACAAGAGAGTAACAAACATAAAAAAGAAGAAGGGGAGATAAGGACGATAGATGTTTGATAGGAAAGAAGAAGCAGCAAACCACACCAGAGCACCCGCCAACCACCCACCAAGTCACTTGGAACAGCGACAACAGAATAGGAAATAGTTAACCACAAATCACATCAGGTTAAAAAAAACAACTTTATAAAAGTAGGAGATAAAGAAACTAGGAATCCACACAAATCTTTCACTCACAGCCAAAAGATGAAGAAAGAGTGTGCACGTAAAATAATCGCTGGAGTCAAAACCTGTAATTACAAACAGTCGATATTTAAATTCCACAGGAAATGCTTGTTCTCAACAGTACGCACGAGTCACAAGTTCACGACAGCAGATTTAAATTTAGTAAGAGTTTTACAGCACTTGCAACACAATAAGGTCATATAAGTGTCAAAGATTAGATTATTTATGCGTTACAAGAGAGTAACATACACAAAAAAGGAGGGGAGATAAGGACAATAGGTGTTTGGTAGGAAAGAAGGAGCAAACCACACCAGAGCACCCGCCAACCACCCACCGAGACCCGATTGTCTGGCTGGAAACTGGTGTTTGGGAACATCGTACAAAAAAACACAGAAAAGTAAAAATAGGACTAAGACTAAGAGAGCGGCGATGGAAGGGACACACCCTCAGAAAGCCCAGCGGAAACATCACAAGACAGTCGCTGCAGTGGAACCCACAGGGAAACATGGAGGAGATGCATGGAAAGGGACATGAGAGAGATGAAGCTCACTTGGAACGAGCTTGGAAGGATGGCCCAAGGCAGAGATATTATATCTTGTGATGTTTCTGCTGAGCTTTCTGGAGGTGTGTCCCATCCATCGCCACTCTCTTAGTCGTATTTCTACTTCTTGATTTCTACTTCATTTAACCCTATCCGTACGCCCTGGGTCATTTTGTACCCCCGGGGTTGAATTCTTCACATTTTAAAATACTTCTAGTACCAAGATCTCTTTGAAACTTTCAGTATTTCTCAAAAAAATATTTTGACAGACAGCTATGCAAAGCGTTCGGATCGGATTAACGAGCAGACTTCCTCTTTGGAAAGTGGTGGCACAGAGTTCCCCACGTCATATGGATACGATAGTAAAACACGACGTACGGATAGGGTTAAGTGGTGGCACAGAGTTCCCCACGTCATATGGATACGATAGTACAACACGATGTACGGATAGGGTTAAAATGGAAGGAGCTTGTATGTGGCCTATGATACCCTGCCAGGGGTGAAAGGCATTGATGATGATGACAAAAACCCATCAGCCTGCGACAGAACTCAACAGACACGAGGGGCGTCTGCTCCAGCCAGCGATCGGCATCTGGCTCAGGGAACACACACTCTCTAAGGGGAAACAACTCGGTAGTTTAAAGGTCAAATGGTCATTTTTAAGCACAAGGGGGGCATCCCGAAAAATGCTGTTTTGAGAAAATCGAAGGTAAAGTTTTTGGATCCTTATTCAGTTTCTTTAAAAGACAAGGAGAACCAAACACATACACCCACCGATGAAACCAAACTTCTCCTATAGATACGGAAAAGCCCCCTTTTGGTGTACGTCAAGATTTCTGGAAACTCCTGAAATCTGGGTTAGCCCACTTGTTCTTAAAAGCAACCGACCAAATGTTCACTCAACATTGTCGAGAATTTCTCGCACACATAAATATCCCGTCATCAAGTGGTCTACGACTACAATGGCGACACTCCACATAAACCACGTCACGCAATCACTCAAAAAAACCCCCCCAACAATCCATGACAAAAGTATGCACTTACGTCAAACTTTGAAAGTGATTTACAAACATATTCAGTATTTAGTGGGAGGACATATTTTACCCCAATGTGATGAGTTGACAATACGATAAAATCGGCAGTGATACTGAATGTTTAAAATCAAACTCACTTAATAAAAAACAAAAACAAAACAACCCCCCCCGAAAACATGCCAAGCAAAAAGTAAAAAACATCTCTTCTGAATTGAAGAAGGTTACGTAAAACAAGATGAAAAAACAAAGAAATTATTATTTAGCCGCTTCTACTGAAAATATTAGTGTTATGATGAAAAAAGTTCCAAGTTCATGGAAAATCAGAAGATTTTGATACACATACTTTGAACTTTTTCACTACAACATCATTTGTACGGGTTGTCCCAACAAACAAGAGCCAATAAGCCGGCACATGGATACTGCACACAAGCAAAGCAAACAGCAAGCCTGACAAGACCGCAGGGAATAAACAAACATGTCATAATTATTCTTCTTATCTCCCTCAAACCCGACACAATGTCCCATCTGTTCCACACGCGCACGCAAATCTACATTCCTCCCATGGTTCTTCTCTCTCTCACTCTTACAATCTCTCTCTCTCACTCTTACAATCTCTCTCTCTCTCTCTCACTCTAACAATCTCTCTCTCTCTCTCACTCTTACAATCTCTCTCTCTCTCTCACTCTAACAATCTCTCTCTCTCTCACTCTAACAATCTCTATCTTTCACTCTCTCTCTCACTCTAACAATCTCTCTTTCACTTTTACAATCTCTCTCTCTCTCTCTCTCCATTTTAGTAACAAAGATACACAGATTTGTACACACACTGGCAATAGTGCTGAAAGACGCAAAGTTCCACCGGGCAGACGCTATGTTAGGTCCTGCTTGCCGAAGCCGTTGGTTCCATCCGGGCCCCGCGGTTGTCGCAAGATAGACATCTGAGGGCCGGAGGTCGGAGGTCCGACGATTTGAGGGGGGCTGTGGAAGACACAGAGAGAGAGAGAGAGAGAGAAAAAACATGATGAGAAAACTATTCCCAACACAGTCTCAGTTTAACACCTTCGGGACAGGCTCCACACAAAAATAACGAAATCAAACAAATGTGAGGCGGCGTGGTGGAATCAGGCTCTCGTCAAAATAATCAAAGTGAAGAAACTTGCATTTTTCCGCAGGTTTGTGAATTTTTATCAAATTTTTGTTTTTTGGCTCAACGTCTTTCATGCCCATTTGAGAACTCATTTCTGTGCGGATTTTTTCAGAAAAACGTTGATGAAAGGCACAAAAAGTGTAAATTTTTAGTTACCACGGACTCTTAAGCTAAGGAAACAACTAATCTTTGGCGGCCATTTTCTCACTAATTTTACCTCTAGAAAACAGGTGACCCCCACCTCCTTCTTTCGCAAATATCTCGGCTTGTGTTCAAGATAAATGGATATTTTTTTTAACCAAATAAAGACAAGTGAATTAGCTTAAGATGATACCCATAACTCTACATGCCCAAAAATTGACGAGAGCCTGATTCCACCACGCTACCTCACAAATCGTTATCTTTTTGGCTGACAGGCAATTTTTTCTAATTTTCTTTTTTTGGCCCAACTCCTTACGTATTTCTGTGAGGATTCTACTGAAAAACAATGAAAGGCAAAAAAGTGTAAATGTTCAGTTTCCAAGGACTCTTAGACTATACTCTTAGACTATACTCTTAGACTATGGACGTTATCAAACTTTGGCCGCTATTTTCTCAATAATTTTTACCTCCGAAACCAGCGACCCCGACCGCCTTCAATTGTAAATATGTCGACTTCCATTTAACATTGTATCAATGTTTTTTTCACGAAAAGGAGGGAAAATGAACAGGCTTTAAAATGATACCAATAACCCCATATGCCCCAAAACTGACGAGCGCCCGATTCCACCACGTCGTGACACATATGATTGTCACCACCAATACACTAGGAGTGCGTTTAGGCACAACCCCCCTCCCCTCCTCCCGCTCAAACAAAATAAATCCAAACAACAAAAAGATGGGAGCGGGGAAAATCCCCACCCTGGCTGTGCTATATATGATTGTCACAAGCAGTAAACTAGAAGTGCCTTCGTTTAGGCTCGGCTCAAACCCCTCCCTCCCCCCCCCCGCCCTCTCCTGCTCAAACAAAACGACATGCGAACAACAAAAAGAAGACATGCGAGGGAAAAAGCTCACCCTAGCTGTTATCTATGGTTGTCACCATCAATACAACAGAAGAGCGTTGAGGCACAACCCCCCCCCCCCCACCCCAAACAAAACAACACCCAAACAACAAAAAGAAGAAATGCTTGCGAAATGCAAACAAAATAAAAAAAACAACAACGAAAACACCAAACAAAAAGAAGAAATGCGTGGGAAAAATGCTGACCCTGGCTGCGCTATATGGTTGTCGCCACTGCCACCTTTCTCCTCCGTCTCTCCGTCGCTGTCCGGCGGGGGCAGGGACCCGAAGATCCTGAGTCGCGCCTCGGCGTACTCCACCTCCCTCTGCTGTAATGACTTAGAGTGCTTGGACGATCCGGGCGGGGCCATGGACCTGCTCCGCACAGACAGCACAGACACGATTAATTTAATACCTCCGCAGAGACAGCACAGACACGATTAATTTAATACTTCCGCACAGACACGATTAATACTCTCACAGAGACGGCACAGACACGATTAATTTAATACTTCCGCAGAGACAGCACAGACACGATTAATACTCTCACAGAGACGGCACAGACACGATTAATCTAATACTTCCGCACAGACACGATTAATTTAATACTTCCGCACAGACAGCACAGACACGATTAAGCAATGCGTCAAACACTACAGCACAAGATAAACGAGAACTTTAACACTTTTCCGTCACATCTCGTCGATGCTTACCACCCAGTTTCCTTGGATCTCCCCTCAAATGCCTTTGCCCTTGAAGGAAGGGTTTTTACTGTATGCGAGTGGTGAAATCGGGCGCTCATCAACAAAATCGGCATTGCTTTGGGCCAAGGGGCAATTTTTTTCGTATTTTCTTTTTTTGGCTCAACACCTTTTATGTCCTTTTAGAAACACATTTTTATGTGGATTTTACTGAAAAACATTGATTAAAGGCACAAAAAATATAAATTTACGTTTCCAAAGACTCTCAGGTTAGGGAAGTTACTAAACTTTGGTGGCCATTTCCTCGCTAATTTTAACTCTGAAACCAAGCCGCCCTAACCTCCTTCAATGGCAAATATTTTTTACTTCTATTTAACATGGATAATTTTTCTCACCAAAAGGAAGGCAAATGAACAGGCTTAAAGATAAAACCAATAACCCATATGCCCAAAATTGATGAGTACCTTAATTATTCCACCACGTAGCGACACATATGAGCCTTGTGAAGGAAAAGTGTTAAACATGACAGGAAAAAAACAATCCACGTGATACATCTTTCTGTTGAATTTCATGTTAAGTAGATAAAAAAATTTTTAAAAACCCAGCTCGACTGAACATAAAAGAAATATGACATTTTGCAGAAATGTCACCTAAAAAAAAAAGGGGAAAATATTGCTTAAAGAAAAAGAAGAGAAATAAGTCTGAAGAAAAAATTCATTATAATTTTTTTTAAAAGCCTGAATTTCTCTCTTGAATATATTTACATGTTTACGTAAGTGCGGAGAAGTAGCAGCAGCAGACAAGAGATGTGTAAACTGTAAACAAAAACATCCCGCGAAGGTTTGTCGGGTCAGAGAATTCCACACCTTGGACAGACAGACACCAGTGAGAAAAAGATGCAGGTCAAAGGGCACGTCGAGGACGGCATGACATACAAAAATACCTGACTCGGTCTGCAAAGGAAAACCCTGAGAGTTTTTAGTTTCAGTAAGTTTTTGCGGAGTTCACAACTGCATAAGGTCATATGAGCGCCAACGGGTGAATGTCAACAGAGAAGTCTAAACACGGAATCGGGTAACTCTGCTCACCTCTCTAGCCTCAACAGTACAAAGTCTGTTTCGACTATAAAGACACCCCGGAAATAGTTCACAAGAGAGTGACAAACATAGAAAAGAAGTCGAGGAAAAATGACGATAGTAAGGATGAGGAAAGAAAAAGCAGCAGTTCCCCCTATGTTGTTCCAGCACAGTATGAGCATGACATTGATAAATCAGCTCCTACAATTCTACTGTGCATAAGAACATGTTAATATCCCCGCTTTGGGAATGGCGTAAAGACAACTTCAGTGAAAAGCACTGCCCCAGGGGGTGAGGGGGGGGGGGGGACCTTGAGAAGGATGAAACAAAGACACAGGTGTTCATGGTAAAAACAAAGCCCCCCAAACCTCCCGCCACACTCACCCTGTGCTGTTGCTGTGGTTCGGCGACGGTGTGGCTGGGGACGGCGCTTCCCTTCGTAAGATCCGAACCTGCGGCTGGTACTGAGAACGTCCGTTGTCTTCAGTAGACATCACAATGGGACCCCTGGGAAGGACATCACCACGAGGGTTAGAAATTATAACAATAAAAACTGCAGTACGATTTCAGAGAAAAAGAAGAAAAATTGAAATAACTCATAGCAAAAAAGTCGGATACCCTGTAAAATTCAGTTGAACAACTTAAAAGACTTTATCTATCATATGTCCAATATACAGCAATCAAAATGAAACCACCCTAAAACATAGCACTACTTACCCTAAGCTACTACTGCTATACTATACCCGCTGCTATACTTCAAACTTCAAATAGTGAAACTCGATTTTAAACGCAGAAAAGCTAGACACGTAGAAGTTTAAAATATTTTTTAAAAAGTGGGCACTGCGTTTTTCTCTTGACTTCAGCCTTCAACAATTTCCCTGAGTCTAGGAGTAACCAAATTTACTTCTCAACTCGACTCAGATAGATAAAGGCAGTATAACACCCCAAAAAACTTTTAAAAATAAATAAAAAATCAAGCAGCTAGCTAGGAGGCAATGTGTAACCTACTGTTTCTGCTTGTTCTCCTTGCTCTGCAGTCCGATAGAGATTTCCTCCAGACGTTTGTCAAGCGCCTGTGGGAAAGTATTGCAAGAAAAGCGATGATGAGTCACATGACACTCAATCTGTGAACCCCCAGGGAAACACGTAGGTGCAACAGGTCAGTTGTCACAAAAAAAGAACACCATGAAAAAGGCAATGGCAATGTATGCAACGTCAAGTCTGTGCTCCTCTACGGCTGCGAAACTTGGAAGACAACGAAGACAGTACTGAATAAGGTCCAGACTTTCATCAACAGATGTATGAGGAGTATTTTAAGAATTAAGTGGCAGGATAGAATAAGAAATGAAGAGCTGTGGGAAAGGACAGGACAAAAGGATATAGAAGTAGAAATAGGACTAAGAAAGTGGCGATGGATGGGACACACCTTAAGAAAGCTCAGCGGAAACATCACAAGACAGTCACTGCAGTGGAACCCACAGGGAGCACGAGGCAGGGGTAGGCCACGGGAAACATGGAGGAGATGCGTGGAAAGGGACATGAGAGAAATGAAGCTCACTTGGAACGAGCTTGGAAGGATGGCTCAGGACAGAGATAAATGGAAGGAGCTTGTATGTGGCCTATACCCTGCCAGGGGTGAAAGGCATTGATGATGATGAATGTATGCAGATTTAACATTTTTTCTTATAAACATTGGTCTTTCCCACACACAAAACACGTGACAAGATCTAAATTATAAAATGTACATCACAAGGGTAGCTTTTCTTCTAAAACACAATTTCAAACTTTCACAGGAAATTAAAGAAATATTTAGATCTAGGAGGAGAATTTCAGTTAGGACGGTGTAAATAATGCAAACTTTTGAAATGTAGAACCCTAAAGAAGACAAAAATAAGGAGCCGAGGTAACCTTGCTCAGTCTTCGGTCTGACCCCTGCGTAAACGCGCGTGTGACGTAAGTGGGTCATCGATCGATGAGAGCTTGTCCCCTATGCGTGACGCGACTGAAAATTTGGATGCGACGTTAATACACATCTCGTGACTGATCTGCACGCGATTAAATGTTGCGTCACGCAAGGATACATAGGCTTAGACTTAGAGCACTCTTCCGGTCAACCTCGGAGGACCAGAGTTTAAAAAAAAATGCTCTAAACGGTGATTTTGTAGTTTCGTTCATGCACATAATAATATGTTTAGGCCTAGATCTATAGGCTACAGTTTTACATTCACTAAAAAATTCAGTAAATCATTCGAGCAAAATATTGCATAATTGCATACTCTTACTAGATTCTAGATCTAGATCTAGATAGATAAGGGAAAAAAATTGAGACTTTATTACAAACAAAACAAATCACAGTGGAATTCTGATAAAGTCAGCATCTCGGGACCGAAAAAACCCCTACAACACTAGATTAGATCTAGAGTGCATTGCCTCTTACCGGCCGCTGCCTCATTATCGGCCGCTCTCAGCGTATGCGGTACTTTTCGTGACAAAATCTTACCTCTATGCAACAATTGTTCCAATTGGTCAACAATTGTTGCACTCGGGCAAACTTTGTTTATCCTGCTACCTTTCCGCCGTCACAGGAGCGCCATTGCTGCGTTTTTTGGCTGAGATCGAAAGTTATCAGAACCCCCACCTCACTTCAGCCGCCGCTGTTATCCTCCCCGAATAAGGCCAGATGTGTCAACAAATAAGCTTTGAGCAATCCTATTATTGACAGGAAGCCCTCTTGTGAAAACGAAAGTCATTTTGATATCATGCCTGACTTGACTATTTGCGTCTGCTGGTTGAAAATAAAATTCCCACCGTTTGAGTGGGGTGGCCGGTAACTGGCAACTATTTTAGCTGGTGTTGCCCCATTATCGGCCGGACGAGAAGAAAGTTACCAAAACTTGTTTTAGTTCTAAGATCTATTAAAATTTGTGTTGTGAACTTGTTTGTTTGTTTGATTAATACAAGAGAAACACATCAACACAATAAAAATGGTCGTTTAGTGCTAGGAAAAAGTAAGACAGATAGAAACAAAAGAAGGAAAGAAAAGAAGTAGGACCAACCAGTAGCGCCCTAACACCCCCCCCCCCCCCCCCCCGCATTGTGAACTTGTATCAGACTAAATTTTTACTTTTAATCGAGGAAAGAAAGAGAGAGGGCTAGAAAGAAGGCGGAAAAGGATGCTGAGAAAGAGAAAAAGAGGCTAGAAAGGGAAACAGCAAAAAGAATGAATGTGGTAGAGAAAGAGGCCGAGAAAGAGAGAAAGAAGAACCAAAGAGAAGGAAAGAGAAAGGCCACCTTGGAAAAAAAGCAAAAGGGAAAGTCCATAAAGAAGAGAAGGGCTGATGTGCTCAATGAAGCTGAGAGTGAGAGTGAATCTGATTCTTTTGGCGTCCAGTATATGGACAGCTCTGGGGATGAGTATGCAGAGGTTTTTGAGCGGATGTTGAGAATACATGTTTTGATTGTGGAGTTGTTACTTGTTTTCATATTCTCTGTTCCCTGGTAGCTCTTCGGCCTCTCTCCTTATTCATAGTTACAAAATACACCAACTAGATGTTGATTTATTGTGTTGAAAAGGGAAAACACAAAAAAACCTCTAAATAACGATGCTATAGCGTGAATTTTAAGGGTGGCCGGTATCGGGGAAACTGGTGGCCGGTAAGAGGCAAATAGTCGAATAGGCGGCCGGAAAGGGGCAACTCTGAGTCTCACCAAATGTGATGTCTTATCGAGTAAACATGTACCAAATTAATGAATCTGGCAGTTGCCTAATACCGGCCAAAGAAGGGAGATCATTCTGTGACATCTTTTTACGACGTGGGTTTCAATTTGTGGTTGATATTAAGGTTTAACCACATGCCTCCGGTTATAAGCCGAAAGTGGCCCTTAGGCGGCCGGTAAGTAGCAATGCACTCTAGTACAAGACCCCCTTCACCCCTCCTTTTAACACTTTTCTTATATTTTTTGCTGAACTTGTCTTCACTCTGTTGTTTCTGTCCTGTCTGGCATCCCCGTTCTTTGTGTTGCCTATTTGGTCGTCAAGACTTCTGGATCCTCTCTGGATGTAAACAAATGGATCGTGGACTTGAAACGAGAACGGAACTACAAAATCCCCACCCGAAAAGCTACAAGCTGTGCATCTGCTTCTGCACCAGGGAGTAGGGAGTGAGAAAGTAAAAATTTAGGCTACCAAAAATAAAAACTTCAAAAGAACACTGATTTATTGACACGGTCTGTGTCTGTCACAGTGTGTGTGTGTGTGTGAGAGTGTGAGTGAGACCATGTGAGAGTGCATTGACACAATTTAACAAAGTAAATTAGTCAGTTGAGGACACCAATTATTAATTTAAACTAAACCAATAAAAATACACCTGAAATTCACCGGAGTGCAATTCTATTCATAAACACTTTGAAGTCTCCGCTTCTTTGCTAAACTTACTTCATTAGATCATGTTTAGATCGTTAGGAGAGACAAATTTGGATTATTTTTTGGGTGGACTTGACACTTGAAGGAGGCTTGAGGCTCGCGGCCTGGGCCTCGGACGCAGTCTGGCTCCACAAGCGCTATGTAAGGCCCCGTTTAAAGTTGTTCAGAATAAAAACAAGCGTACAAATATTGTTGAATATGAAACAAACAACACCAAACGCCCTTCAACTCAATTTACCCCACTATCCGCTTGATTCTCCCAACTGTCGAGATTATCGCAGTCGTCGTCCGCCATCTTGTATCGAGGTTTTATTTAGAAATTTCAAGAAAGGGAAGAATCGATCCCAGAGTCGCCCATCTGTCGCATGATGTAGCTAATTACTACATCGATTCTTTGGCGTTGAACAAAACCTGTCGTTTCACCATTCCGGATTTTGATTGTGTGTGTGTGTGTGTGTGTGTGTGTGTGTGTGTGTGTGTGTGTGTGTGTGTGTGTGTGTGTGTGTGTGTGTGTGTGTGTTTTATATGTGCTTATGTATGTGTGTATGTTTGCTTTTTGTTTGTATGAATGTCACAGGAAATGGGGCCTTCTGGTGGTGTAGATAGGTTTAAAAAAACAAACAACAACAACAAACAACAACAACAACAATGCTTCAATCATGATGATGACAGGTGACAAAATTTAAAACACGATGCACTCACTAAAGAGTGTCTTTTATTTGTGTGTGTGTGGTTGGGGGGGGGGGTTTTGTTGTTTGTTGTTGTTGTTGTTGTTTGTTGTTGTTGAGTTTTTGCTTTGTTTGTGGGGTCCTTTTTTTTGGGGGGGGTGTTTTTTTTATTTTCCTGTTGTTGTTTTTTTTAGTTGTTTTTATTGAAAGGGGGGTGGGGTGGTTCTTGTGTTGCAGAGTATAAAGAAATTGATCGACTGAGAGTAACTGACGTCACTGAAAGCTGGGATAATATAAAAATACCTTAGATTACGGAGGAAAACAGAAAAAAATTCTTTAAGAACTGGGATGCAATAGCAATACAACTAATAAATAGACAAACTGGTAAACAAAGAGAAAACTGGACAACTTAGAAAATCGGAAATTCGATAAAAAGATGGACCGTGGTCAGGGCTGGGACATTAATCGAATCCTCTGGTCACTGATCTATAGTAGTCGGTAACTGTCTCCAAATGAAAAGGAACCGCCCATCACAGTATCGCAGGTTTGTTTAGTATTTTCCTCTTCAGGTCAATTCTCCTTCCTTCCTTTCGCACATTTGTCCATATTTTCTTTCCTTCGTTTTAAAAGAGTTCGCAGTACAAAACAGTAACGGCGTCTCGAACCTTCGAACTAGAAAACAATAAATTGTTTATTCCGTCATTTTACGCAAGCCTAAATAATATTAATCGTATTAATTAATTAACTTATTACCTGGGGACAAAAATTAAGGTAATTTGACAAAGCCCAAAGTCACCCTCAATATGTTATTCAAACATATTTTACAATTTTTATCTGATATATTTGGCTGAAACTTGAATACAGCAACTTTTATACACTATCAGTTAGCCTCCTATGTATTATTAATTAATATGCTTTCGATGGGAGTATAATGATTCAAAAAGTGTCGCAACATTGCATCTTGTCTGCTGTGGATGTCCAAATAATGTCTACACCAGAGTTTAAAACCAGTCGATTTTGCTTTCTTTAACAAAACCTTGGCAACGCTCAAGAAATAGCTTAATCGCTGGCTTGGAACTTTTGTTTCAACAAGGCGTCTTCTTCAAAATGCTCATGCTATCTGTTTTGTTTGTTTGTTTCTTTATTTGTTGTTTTTTCCTTCAGAAAATGAATGTTGCCCATTGCCTACAGGATACTTTTCGTTCGTTTCTTCAAACCGTTCCGGTGGGTGGTTGGCGGGTGCTCTGGTGTGGTTTGCTTCTTTCGTTCCTACCGTCTTTATCTCCCCTCCTTCTTTCTTCTGTTTGTTACTCTCTTGTAACACCTCTAATCTTCGGAACTTGTTTGACCTTATTGTGTTGCAAGTGGCGTAAAACACTTAATAAAACTTTTTTAAAAACCCAAACCCCCCCCCGTCCCGTGTACCAGCCACTAGTACTGTCGGGGTTGGT